ACTTCAGAATTAGTTTGAACCACAAGGTCAGTGGTTCTAGCTCACCAATTCCTTGGACACCCTATACAGGGTTGCTGTGGATCAGAACCAACTCGAAGGCACTTAGCAACAACAACAACATACCAATAAAAACAGCCCTGAAAAGGAAATTAGGAAAACCATACCATTTACAATAGCCACCCATAGGATGAAACATTTAGGAATAAATCTAACCAGAGAAGCAAAAGATCTATACAAAGAAAACTGCAAAACCCAGATGCAAGAAACCAAAAGAGATTTGCAAAAATGGAAGAATATACCATGTTCGTGGATAAGAAAACTTTGTGAAAATGTCAATACTACCCAAAGCAATCTACATATATAATAAAATTCCATTCCAACAACATTCTTTGAAGTGCTGGAAAAAACGACTGCATATTTTAATATGGAAGGGAACAAGACCTCAGATAAGCAAATCACTGCTTAGGAAGACCAAAGTGGGAGGCCTCTTACTCCCTGGCTTCAAATTTTACTACAGGGTCACAATGGTCAAAATGGCCTGGTATGGGTACAATGAAAGACACATAAATAGATCAGTGGAACACAGTTGAGAATCCTGAAGTAAATCCGTCCACATACAGTCAGCTGATTTTTGACAAAGAGTCAAAATACATTAAATGGTGCTGGCAAAATTGGAAATTGATTTGCAAAAGAATGAAACAAGACTCATATCTCATACCATATACAAAAACTAACAACATGGATTAAAGATCTAAATGTACATCCCAGAACTATAGATAGAGTTCATCAATGAAAAAGTCTACTTATGCCATGTATTAACGGCTCTAATACATGGCATAAGTAGACTATCAAACATGGCAAAAAACACACAATAGAGGACAGAATAGATGACTGGAACTTACTAACATTGAAAGATTAATGTGTGTCAAAATATTTCACCAAAAGAATAAAAAGGGAGCCTATAGACTGGGAAAAAATTTTTTGCAATGACATATCAGATTTCTAAAATTTATAGGAAACTACAAAGGCAAATAACCCAATTAAAATCTGGGCCAAGGAAGACATTCAGGCAGCTAACTAACATATGAAGAAATGTTCACGATCATTAGAAATTATAGGGTTTGCAAATCAAAACAACAATGAGATATCATCTCACAGCAGCAGTAACAACGAAGTTCAACAAAGCATAGGCCTACAAATACTGGAGAGAGTGTGGCGAGACTGGGACCCTCGTACACTGATAGATGAAAAGGTCAAAATGGATGTCAGAAGAAGAGTTGTGTGATGACATCAAGAACATCATACGTGAAGAAAGCAAAAAGTCACTAAGAAGACAAGAAAGATGAAAAGGTCAAAATGGATGTCAGAAGAGACACTAAAACTTGCTCTCCACCGTAGAGATGCTAAAGCAAATAGAAGAAATGAGGTCCAAGAGCTGAACAGAACATTTCAAAGGTCAGCTCGAGAAGACAAAGTCAAATATTACAATGAAATGTGCAAAGATCTGGAGTCAGAAAACCAAAAGGGAAAGAACATGTTCAACATTTCTCAAACTGGGGAAACTGAAGTAAAAATTCAAGCCTCCACTTCGTTACTGAAGGATCCTCTGGGCAAATGATTGAATGATACAGAAAGCATTAAAAGAAGATGGAAGGAATACACCGAGTCACTGTACCAAAAGGAAATGGTTGATGTTCAACCGTTTCAATAGAGCATATAATCAAGAGCCAAGGATACTGAAGGAATAAGTCCAAGTTGCATTGAAGGAATTGGCAAAGTATAAGGGACCAGGAGTTGATGGAATAGAAATTGAAATCTTTCAAGAAAGTGAGGCAGCACTGGAGGCACTTAATCATCTGTGCCAGGAAATCTGGCCGACTGATTGGAAGAGATCTGTATTTGTGCCCATTCCAAAGAAAGGTGACCCAACAGAATGCAGAAATCATCGGATAATATCTTTAAAAAAATTAAAACCTTAATTATGATTGTCGTGTTGTTCAGTTATCACCACTATCCATTTCCAGATTTTCATCACCCTAAACAGAAATTCCATATTTCCTAGGCATTGAAACCCCATTTATTCCTCCTTCTAGCTGCCCCTGGGAACCACTAATAAACTTTAGTCTCTATGTTGTTGTTGCTAAGTGCCGTCAAGTCAGTTCTGCCCCATAGCGACCCTGTAGAGGGTTTCCAAGGAGCAGCTGGTGAGTTTGAACCGCTAACTTTGCGGTTCAAATCGACTTTGCAGTACAGTGCATTAACCCACAACACCACACTTGGCTTCTATACACTTACCTATTCTAGATATTTCATATAATTGGAATTATACAATATTTGTACTCTTGAGACTGAATTACTTCACTCAGCATATTGTTTTGAAGATTCTCAGCTATGTTGTAGCATATCATTTTCTTTATCGCAGAACAATACTGTATATATGTAGCACATTTTGTTTATTCGGTCTTCTGTTTATCGACATTTAGGCTGTTTTTACCTATTGACTATTGTGAATAATGCTGCAATGTACATTGGTGTACCCGTATCTGTTTTGTTTCTTCTTTCAATTCTTTAGTGTATATAGCTGGGAGTGGAATTACTGTATTATATGGAGTCCTGATGTGGCAATACAGAATAAGCACTGGACTGCTAACCCTAAATTCGGCAGTTCAAATCCACCAGCTTCTCATTGGAAACTATACAGAGTCTCTCTAAGTCAGAACCAACTCCACAGCACTTAACAACATGGTAATTCTGTGTTTAGCCATGTTTTTCCAAAATCCATTTTTATGCTCAATTAAAATTTTATGTTTCCATTAAAGTTTAGGCATTGTCATTTTGTTTCAGTGCTCTTCAATCTAGAGAAGTATATGGACATTTCTAACAAAACTTCATTTAGGTGTAATGAAAATGTATTGTTGTTAAGTGTTGTCAAGTGGGTTCCAAGGCTGCATAGAGTTTCCTCATAGCAACCCTGCATAGGGCTTCCAAGGAGCAGCTGCTGGATTTGAACCGCCTACTTGTGGTTAGCAGTCCAGTGCTTATCCTTCTCACACTAGGATTCCACAATATAGTATACTGCAAATCCGTGTATACAATTTTGTGGGCTTTTTTGAAAAATGCTTATTTCCATTAAAAAATCATTATAATCAAATAAAGCAAGTATCCATAAGCTACCATTTTTCATTAGTCAAAAGCAATGTCCCTATACCTTCTCCTTCTTATGTCTTTTATGACACTCACTTTTAAAAGTGTATTTCAATTTAATGTCTAATTTTAGCAAGGAGTCCTGGTATGGTGCTGTGGGTTAATGTGCTGGACTGCAAAGTCTGTTTGACACGCATGGTCGGTGGTTCAAGCTCACTAGCTGCTCCTCGGAAACAGGGTCACTTTGGGTTGAAATTGACTTGTTGGCACTTAACATCAACAACAACAATTTTAGCAAAATTGAAAATATTCAGCAATCTCTGCTTCCGTTCCCATGTCTCCTAACTTTGATTTGTTGATTGCCATTTAAATAATCTGATTTTTTTCTCTTTTTTTGCTCCATGAAAACTTTATAATCCTTTCTTTTCCTTATAAGATCAATTATTTTCATTATTTCAAAATATTTTACATATTTGGTAATGTCTTTCATTTATATTCCAGCTGTTCTCTGAATATTTAATTTCTGCTTTCATATTTGTAATTTTCAAGACTGTTTTTCATAGTGGCTGTAGCACTTTACATTCCCACCAGCAATTGATGAGGGACCCAGCTTCTCTAAATCCTAATCAACACCTGCAAATTCTCATTTTTTTTTTATCATAGCCACCTTTTTGGTTTGAAGTGATACTGCATTGTAGTTTAGATTTACATTTTCCTAGTGACTAGTGATGTTGAGCATCTTTTCATGTGCTTATTGACCATTCATGTATCTTCTTTGAAGAAATGCCTTTAATTTTTTTACTCATGGCTTCATTGGTTTTTTGTGTTTTTCACATTGAGTTATAGGAATTCTTTATATATTCTCAATATTAGACCTTATATAGACATATCGTTTAAAATATTTTCTCCCATTCAGTAGGCTTTGTTTTCACTTTCTTGATAATGTCATCTAATGCAGAAATACATATTTATTTTGATGAAATCTAGTTTATCTGGTCATTATTTTTTGTTCATGTTTTTGTTGTCATATCTAAGAACCCATTTTCAAAAACTGGATCCTAAAGCTTTTTCCTTCTAAAAATTTTATTGTTATGTGGATCTGTATACTGTAGCCTTCCTCTAGTAATTGTGGACATGCTTGTTGATACACTATATTGCAACTTGTTTCTAATGCTGCTTTGAGGGTAGTTTACTAGCTAATCTTCAACGGGAAAAGGGCTTCCCTTTCCTCTTGGATGTTGTCTACTTCTACATCATTGACCTTCCTCTTGACCTCAACTCTTTCCTATCAGTACTCTTTTGGACACAGATGTCTTTCCTATGTTCTGCTCTGTATGGAAATGAGGACTATAGGGACTGAGCTGCCTGACTGTTTCTTCTTTGGTGCCCCAAGCAGTTCAACTTGTTTTTCCAGTTATCCATTTCATAATAGATACTGATTCATGGAATAAATCTTACAGTGCCTCATTTAGAGTGAGCAACTTATGCAGTGTTGCTTTATTACATTAAAACCTTTTTAATTATCTAGCAGGAGTTAAGCTTTTTCTTCTTTTCAACCAGCAAATATCTATCAAGCAATACATAAGTCAGTCTCCTGTTTTTATGGTGCTCACATTCTAGTCAGGGAAGATAAACCCTAAGCAAATAAATACACAAGTGTGGTATGCAGATTATTTAAGTAAAGGGCTACCATAGGGAGATCATCAGAGAAGACCTGTGTGTGAGATGACTTTCACAGCTGGAAATCTGGGTAACCATCCAACAATCAGTTTAAAGAACATTTCAGGAAAAGGTGATAGCAAGTGCTGCAGCCTAAATTATTGCCATTTTGGCTTTTCTCTTTTTGTCTCCATTAGGAGATGTCCTCAGATGCTTCACTTCCAGGGGATCCAGAGGCCTGTCCTGCTGCTGTATCAAGTGGTGGAGCCATTCATCTGCACACAGGAGGTGGATATTTTGGCCTAAGCTTTACTTGTCCTAGTCTCAAAAGTCCTATTAGCAAGAAATCCTGGACTCGCAAATTTAAAAGCTGGGCATACAGGCTACGGCAGTCAACCAGCTTTTTCAAGAGATCAAAAGTCCATCAAGGTAGTGTGCTTACAGTCAGGGACATAGACTAGGTAACATCACTTTTCATTTACGTATTTTTTTTGTTGTTGTTGTTGCTCATATTACAATCTTCCAACTTTTTCACGTAGCCCATGTATGTAACTTGTCTCATTAATACCATTGCCTTTTTATTTTTCCTTTAGTAGCTAATTTGGTTTTCCAGTTATTCATTTCATATAGATACTGAATCTTGGAATAAATCTTGCAATGCCTGATTTAGAGCGAGCAACTTATGCAATGTTGCTTATTACATTAAAACTTTTTAAATTATGTAGCAGGAATTAAGCTTTTTCTTCTTTTCTTCCATTTGATAACATAAGCAAATTTAACCTTAAACAATTTTCTTTTTTCTGCTTACAATTTGGCAAAACATTCAGTGGAAACAGAAGATATGAGACCAGCAGTTGCTCCTGATCACATTCCTTTGACACAAGAGTCCATAGCTGATACTAGGGCTTTGAGTAGATGTAATACGATGAGTGGATCATTTCAGCATGGTCGGTTCCAGGTTTGTGTCTTTGGTTGAATCCTTATCTACAAAGGCATTATTAAAGGTAACAGCATTGAAGATCTTGGCCTTTATATAATACTTACTTAAATGTAATCATTGTTATTTTTATCTATCCCTCTGTACACATCCCTTTAACTTTAGAAGCCATCCAGTAAAGGTGAGTCTAAAGAAATGGGGATTTTAGTAGCTGGAGCAGAGCACAAGAATGGGTCATCCTTTTACGAGGGGTAATTGTATCTCCTTCTTTTATAAATCTAATTTCATATCTTTTCAATTCTTGGCAACATTAGATAATTTTTTTTTCAAACTGTGTAGCTTTATTTGAGCAATATGAAGCCAACTCTCTTTATCCAAGGGGCTCTATATTGAAAGACTTTGACTATAGGGAGTATAGGTAAGAATTTTAAGTTTTGGTATTACTGATCTGTATATATCACAGCATACCAGCCACTTGTCTGGGTCACATAATTATAATGATTTTTTTCATGAGTGGTTTCATCTTTGATTAGGTGGAGCCAGCCACCTTTACTTTTTTATATCTCAGGTGATTACAGTTCCTCAGCAACAGACAGTGGAGGTGACATCTTTTGGAATAGAGCACATACCAGCTTTCAATCAAATGACAAACTATTCTAATGAAGAAACTCTCGTCTTTACTGAAACAGCAAACTCTCAGTTGATAGAAATGGAACCTGCTCTGCACAATCCACAAACTTCATTTTCTCCTCAGAAATTACAAGCTCTTCATAAAACCATTAAGGAAGATAATGGAATTCCCCAAAAAAGTGACAACATAGTATCTTATAGCACAGCTTGTGAGACTGATATATCTTCTATGACCCCAGAAAAGGAATTGGAAGAAACTTTAGCCACAGGAATTAATATGCAATCTGGAGCTGAACTATTGATTAAGAAAAAAGAGACAATGATGGTTGGGACACAGACTAGCTCTGATAGTGAATTTTCAGCCCCTCTTACTGGCAACCAAAAGTCAGTGGCAAAGACTTGTCCAGAGAGTAATCAGTGCCAAGAAGAACAGGCCTATGTTCAAACACAGAGCTCACTCTTCTATTCACCATCTTCTCCAATGAGCAGTGATGATGAATCAGAAGTAGAGGATGAGGATTTAAAGATGGAGCTTCAAAGATTACGAGAAAAGTAAGGACTGTTTTTCTTCTATTGCAAGTTTTGAGTTTCATAGAACTTTGTATTTAATTAGTAAGTAAATGTTTAACATTATAACATTTTAATAATTGAAACTTTATGATTAGAAACTATAAAGGAATGTTTCTAAATGCTAAACATTTATGAATGTGAAATGTTTTCATAACTGAGGGCTAGTTGTAATTGCTTGTATGTCTGAGATTCTTGGGAGTCCCTGGATGGTGTAAATAGTTAACAAATTTGGCTAGCGTGGAAGTTAAGGGTTCCAGTCTACCCAGAGTTGTCTTAGAAAAAAGCCCTGGCAATCTATTTTTGAAAAGTCAGCCATTCATACCCCATGGAACATGTTATTGTTGTTGTTAAGTGCCATTGAGTTGGTTCCCACTCATAGCAACCATGTATAGGATTTCCAACACAGGGTCTCCATGAATTGGATTTGACTCAATGCCAATTATCTTAGGGATACTGTGGTAATATGTTTTATCATATAGGAATGCTGTTTTTTTTTTTTAGTTGTATAAGCCAGATCATATATTTTTTTTAATGTTTTATTGTGAATTATGTGATAGTTTACATGGGAGAACATTAGTTTTACATTCATTCTATCATGTATCGTCTCATTGCCATGGTTACAATTCCCTCCATGCAGTCCTTCCCCCGTACCCCCCAAGTCTTCAGCACACAGTCTCTCTCCCTCTCTGGATCTAAAGTCTCCAGCTGCTCCATCGCTCCACATCATCATCTCTGGCTCTATTTCAGGCATCACTGCTTCTCTGGGTAGGGTCCTGCTCTCTGCTCTTCTCCCTTGATGGTCCTAGGGACCTCCGCTCCTAGACTGAAAAGTTAATCACTCCCCTCCTTGCTATAAAGCATCTACCTTTACATTTCCGACCCTCACAAACAGTCCTGATAACAATTATTCACTATTTTATCACAAAAGACCCATCTATATTTCATTGCATCAGCTCCACCTAGTCAGATTGAATACTATTCACTGGAGATTCTACCTTCCTCCAGGCCCTCTGGATCTAGGTTTCCTCTTGCAAGCTTGTAAGCCAGTCACTTCTTGCCTTTGTAGCCCCCCACCCCCCCATTTTGGGTAGCCAATGTCCAAGTTGCCCATCCCTGTCTACTCTATGTGTGGGAGGGGGTGGGAATGATTCTTGCTGTAAGGACTTGTTCCCTCTTTTGAGCTACTGCTTCCATAGGTGTAGGTCAAGTTCATCAAATTGTATGAGAATACTTTTTTTTTTTTTCCTCTTCTTTTTATTTCTGGTTGAGCTCTGATCATCCAGTCACTGAAGCCAGTCTAAGTGGGTATTATCTGCAAGTGTGGGTGTTCTTATGCATATGCCTTCTTTTCTTATCAGCTGGATGCTTCACTCTCCACTCTAGTCCTCTGTGGCTATGTCACTGACTCTGGGCCCAAGAGTCCCCAGGTCTTGCCACACTGCTGGCTAACCAGGTCTTCACCCGGGTTCACAGAAGTCTATTGAACGTAGTAGGGCTTAGCTCACCGCTTCATTGCTGTTTTTCCCTTGCCAGATCATATTTTTAAGGAAATTAGGATTAAGTTACTGAACTCTAATTTTTCATGTGATTCTAAACTCAAAAGATACAAAGGGATACCAGTAGACTCTCCCTCTTAACTTTCTACTCCAGCCACCCAGTTTTTCCCCTTAGGGTAACCAATATTCTTGTATACTCGTATATTCAACAAATATATGCATTTTTTTTCACCCACAGATTATAGCATATTCTACAGTCTATTCTTATATCTTGCTTTTATCACCTTTTTGCTATATTTAGCATCTATATCTGTATTATTCTTTTTTAACAGTGTTATAGAAGTCCTGGTGTGGTGCTGTGGGTTAATGCGCCAGACTGCAAAGCCGTTTGAACTGCAAGGTCGGCAGTTCAAGCTCACCAGCTGCTCCTCGGAAACCCTATACAGGGTCGCTATGGGTCGGAATTGACTCAATGGCACTTAATATAGTATTCCATTTTGGTGTTGTTATTGTTGTTGTTTAGTACCATCGAGTCAGTCCCAACCTATAGCGACCCTGTATAGGGTTTGCAGGAGCAGAGTCTTCTTTTCCCCACAAGGCTGGTGGGCTCAAACCACGGACCTTGCACTCCCCAATTATATACCCCAAAGATAATGATCTCGTGACATTATTTTGAAAAGTTGAAATAAACTAGAAATCTTCGACTATATCTTATGCGTCAAATAATCCTGTTCTGGAAGTTGAACAATGTATAAAGCAGGCAGCGTCAGAGAACAGCTAAAAACTGTTTTTGTTAAGTGCCGCTGATTGGTTCTGACTCATAGCGACCCTGTGTAGGGTTTCCGGGGAGCAGCTGGTGGGTTTGAACTGCTGACCTTGTGATTCAAAGTCCAGTGCTGATCCTACAGCGCCACACCAGGAGTCCAGATTTTAAAATAGGTGGCTTTTAACCAGATTCTTGCATGCTTAGATAATATACCAATTGGATGCTGAGTCTGAAAGCTTCAAAAACTGCTTTAGTTTTTGAAGATTAAATTCCTTGGAAATTTCTTAAGAGTTTTTAAGACCTTGTCCAAAGGAGAAAACAAAACAAAATTGTCATTCCAATTGAGGGATAAGTGTAATATTATTTTCTCTCTAGCTTGTTTCATTATTTCAAGAAAGTTGTAAATTTATTTCATTTTGAAACAAATGGTCATATTTTTTTAAGACATATAATGCCATTTTAACTTAAGCCTAGAAGAAAATTTTGTGTGTATGTTTTAACATTCATCACTAAAAAGTTGTGTGTGGTTTTTTTCACTTTAAGAAAGATAATGAAGATACAAGTTTGGCTTTTTTATATGTATACATATACAACAATATATATATTTTGTTGTTAAGTGCCATCAAGTTGGTTCTGACTCATAGTGACCCTGTATAAGATTTCCAAGGATCGGCTGGTGAGTTTGAACCACTGAACTTGTGTTGAATTTTTTTTTTGCACTTAAAATTTTTTTTAATGTTCTCAATAGACGGGTAGTCTTTGTAGATGATGATTATGACTATGAGTTGAATATGAATCATGGATTCTCATAACTTCATAGAATTTAGGGCTTCTAAGTTATCTTAAAAGATTTTTTTTTCTCGATCTTTTTCTTCAGTATTCTTTTGACATTTTGATTTCTTTACAATTTTTTAAAACTCCAGAATGGTGTTTCTAAGGACTGTGGCCCTATAGGTTTACAATGGTTAGCTAAGTTTTTAGACCTGACAATAACACAGTCTTTTTTATAATCCTGCTGTTCAAACCCTATACAGGGTCACTATGAGTCAGAACTTACAAAAAGAACAAAACAGTCTTTGAAAATGTAAACATCTGTATTTTCTTGAAAGGATTATTATAAAAATGATACATAGGAAAAGATTCAAGCAATACATTAAAAAGCAAACAAAAACCCACTTTATTTTTCTCATGCCCAATCTCAATTTTTCAGAGTTTGTGAATTGTTACTTGACAGTAAGTTATCTTTCCAAGAACTAGTGTAGTTTGGGTTGATTTTTGTTGTTGTTATTTTTTACAAAAGTTGGGAACACAATATAAATGTTACTGTACAATTTTTGACTTGACATTGCTGCTCGTTTGTTTCTACAGAAATAAATCTATCTTAATTTTTTTTAAAGACTGTATGCTATTCTAATATGAGTTTATCTAAGTTTATTTGATCTTTCCTTAATGGACATTTCATGTCCCCTCTTTTATTTATGTAAACAATGCTGAAATGAGCACCCTTAATATACTTATGTATTTTTATAAAATAAGTATCTGAAAGTGAAACTGCTAGGTTAAAATGTGTGAAAATTTTATATTGCTAAAATTGTCTTCCAATGTAATTAAATTATCTTGCTTTTTAAAAAAAAAAAAAAAAAAAGCATATATTACAGTATCTTTTTTCCCCACACTTTGACAATATTGGTCAAATTTTCCTACACTTTGACAGTATTGGTCAGATTTCCCCAATGTGATGAATTTTAAAAGTTGTGGGGGGTTTTTTAATTGTGTTCCCTTGCTTTACAGTGAGATTGTGCATCATCTCATAAGGTTATGCATGTCTATTGATTATATTACCTCATCTTTGGAATTACCTTTTCATATTCTTTATCCTTTTTTTCTATAAGATTTAAAATTTTTTGTTGTTGATTTTTAGGAATGCTAACTATTATGTTGCAAATATTTTTCTTTCTGTTTATATTTGCAAGATATAATAAAGAAAAGAGTGTTATTAATACTATATGACTTTAAGATTTATTGTCTTTTACTGTACTGAAGTTTTAGATAATTGTTCTTGTCAGATTTATTCACTTTTTTCTTTTTGCTTAGTTAGTTTTATATTATATCTAGGAAAGCGCTTCCTATATTAAAATGATGAAAATATTCTCCTGTCATTCCACATTCTTAATTTAAACTCCTTGTTAAACTACTTGTGTTGTTATAGAGATTCCTGGCTTATCTGTATTATACCAGTGTCAGTAAAATTATTTCTGCATGATTTTAATTCAGACATATTCAGGAGGTGGTGAATCTTCAAACCCAGCAAAATAAGGAGCTACAGGAACTCTATGAACGTCTTCGATCATTGAAAAATAGCAAAACCCAATCATCAGAGACCCCTCTGCCACCTGCATCACCTCGTCGACCAAGATCTTTCAAAAGCAAACTTCGAAGCCGCCCCCAATCCCTGACACATGTGGATAATAGCATAATTGGTACAGGTAAGTCAATCATAAAAGTAATTTTTTTAAAACCTGGTTAAAGATAATGTAAATGAGAAAAGTGGTAATATGTACATTTTTTTATTAAGGTAAGATAATATATGGAGTCCTGGTGTGGTTCTGTGAATTAATGTGCTGGACTGCAAGGTCAGTTTTAACCACAAGGTCAGTGGTAAAAGATCACCAGTTGCTTCTCAGAAATCTGGGTTGCTAAGGGTCAGAAATGACTCCATGGCTTAGCAACAACAACAAAATAATATAAATAATATTAAAAAATTACATATTTTTCCAAGGTTCTTTTATACTTTTTTATGGTAAATATTTCTTTATGAAATAATGCTGATATATGATAGATTTGGGGAAGCAGATAAATGTGTTTTATGTTTTCATTTGGAAAACAAACATTTGGAAGCCTAATAATAATTCCCAAAATCGCTTTTGAATTTTGTCAGTGAAGTGTTAATTTAACACTTAGAATTTGAGTAACAAAATACAATCGTAAAAAATATATCCATATTCTTTCTGAAGTAAGAACTTTATTTTTAATAAGAATGTTAGAAATCAGGCACTTCTTTGAATTTGAAGAGGAGCCCTAGTGGCACAGTCATTAAAGTTGCTAACCTTGTCAACTGGCAATTTGAATTCATCAGCTGCTCTGCAAGAGAAAGATTGGCAGTATGCTTCTGTAATGGTTTACAAACCTTAGAAACCCTATGTGGCTTTTCTCCTCTATCCTACAGGGTCACTGTGAGTCATAATCAACTCAATAGCAGTGAGCTTAGTATGTGGGGTTTTGACTTAGAAAAAAAAGAGTGCCAGTCTCTGCTTACCCAATAAAGAAATTGTTAATCATATCAGCCTTGTTTACTTAAAGGTGGGGATTGGGGATGGATTGTAAGGATGTATGTAAAATCTCCAGGAATTTGTGGTGGATTGAGTAATGACACTCCAATCTATACAGAACTTGTGGTATGATGGCCCCCTAAAGATATCCACATCCTCATCCCTGGAACCTGTGACTGTATTATATTACATGGAAAGGGAGATTAAGGTTGTTGATGGAATTAAGGTTGTTAATCAGCTATTTGGAAAAATTGCAGCCAAAATGGTCCTTAGAAGCCAAGATGTCAAGTCTTTGTTTCTCATACTTTGGACATGTTATCCGGGGGGACATTGAGAAGGACATCAAGCTTGGTAAAGTGGAGGGTCATTGAAAAAAAGGAAGACCCCCCCCCAAAAGGTGGATTGACACAGTGACAGCAACAATGGGCTCAAGTATAACAATGGTAAGGATAGCACATAAATAGGGAGATTACCTTGAATATCTGATTTGATCATTGGGTTCTTAAAAATGAAAAGAGAAAAGCAGGTAAGACAAATGATGCGATGAGGGAACTAGGATCAGGGAGATGGTTTTGAAGATGAAGAAAAAGAGGGCCATGAACCATGGAATGTAGGAAGTTTCTAGAAGCTGGAAAGGGCAAGGGAATGTATTCTTCCATAGAGCCTCCAGAAGGAATTCAGCACTACTAACACCTTGATTTTAGTCCAGTGGGAACTGTGTTGAACTTCTAACCTACAGAACAGTAAGATAATAAAATTGTGATGTTTTAAGCCACTAAGTTTGTGGTAAAATGTTACAGCAGCAATAGGAAACGAATAAAGAAACCATGAACTGGAACTGTAATTTGTTGATCCTCAAATGAAATTTATAGAAAACTACAATACCTCTACAAGAAAAAGACAAACAATGCAATTTAAAAATGGGCACAGGAAATGAATAGACACTTCACCAAGAAAAATATTCAGGCAGCTGACAAACATGAAGAAATGTTCATGATCATTAGCCATTGTTGTTGTTGTTAGGTGCCGTCAACTTGGTTCTAACCCATAGCAACCCTTTGTACAACAGAACAAAACACTGCCTGGTCCTGTGCTATTCTAACAATTGCTATTACGGTTGAGCCCATGGTTGCTGCCATTGTGCCAATACATCTCCATGGGAGTCTCCCTCTTCTTCACTGTCCCTCCACCTTACCAAGCATGATATCCTTCTCCAGAGACTGGTCCTTCCTGAAAATGTGTCCAAAGTATGAGAGACTAAGTCTGATCATCTTAGTTTCTAAGGAGCATTCTGGTGTGCTTCTTCCAACACAGATTTGTTTGTTCTTCTGGAAGTTCATGGTACCTTTAACATTCTTCTCCAACACTATAATTCAAATGCATCAATTCTTCTAGTCTTCCTTATTCACAGTTCAACTTTCACATGTATATGAAGTTATTGAAAATATCCTGGCTTGGGTCAGGCTAAAAAGATACAAATCAAAAGAACAATGAGATACCATCTCACACCTACATCAGTAAAGTTTAAAAAAAAAAAAAAACACAAAGAAACAGAAAATAACAAATGCTGGCAAGGGTGTGGAGAGACTGGGCCCTCATAAAATGGTCCAACTACTATGGAAAACAGTATGGCACTTCTTTAGAAAGTTGGTGATAGAAGTATCTTATGACCCAGCAATCCCTTTACTTGGTATATCAACCATGATACGAGATATCAGGAAATAATCAGCCATGATATGAGTAGATAGATACACACCGATGTTCATCACAGCACTAGTCACAATAGCAAAAAGATGGAGACAGCCTAAGTGTACATCAATGGAAAAATGGTTAAACAATGGAATCTATGCAAAGTTGAAGAATAACAATGAATCTGTCTGTGAAACACCTCATAATATGGATGAACCTGGAAGACATTATGCCAAATATAATTAGTCAATCACTAAAGAATAAATATTGTATGAGATCATTTTTAAAAACTTAGAAAAGGTTTTCAAACTAAAAGAAACATTCATTGATGCTTACCAGAGGTGGGAGGGAGGGGGAGAGTAATTCAATGGCTAGAGGGTAGACGCATGTTTGACAGGGAGCGCAATATAAAAGAAGGAGGAGAGCAGTATACAAGAAGAGGGAGGGTGGCAGAGGAATGATAAAGATAAGGTAAAAACATGGGCAGGTATGCACGGGCAAAAGGGGATAGAGGTAAATAGTGAAGTATACAGAACCTTGGAATAACCGTGTTCTGTGTATAGATGCATGGATTGAGACATAGGCTGAATGGGTAAGGGTGGAAGAGTTAGATATATGCATGTATTTATATATCCCACAAATATACGAGAGTTTGAAAGTGAATATTTGTACATGAGTATTTACCATTCCTGCAAACACAACTGTGTATATGGTAGAGCATACAGTGGGCCTGGGAACTCAGGATCCATTGTATGTCAAGGGACACCATGGCCATTTGGGATAACGTAGACATATACAGCATTCTACATCCAGTTTGGGTGAATAGCTTCTGGGATCTTGAAAGCTCATGAGTGCCAATCTAACGTGACAGAAGAGTAATAAGAATTGAAAAGGTTTGAAATCAGTTAGTCCAGTGGCCTACTGGAACATGTGAACATCAGTCTCCATGACTGTGAGACCATAACTAAACAGGGCCTGGCAACCACTACCAACTGATCTGAAATGGACCTAATTAGAGGGTTCTGGATAGAGTAGAAGAAAATGTGCCACAAAACTCAAACTTATTTAATTAAAAAAAAAAAAGCCAGATTTACTAGTCAGAAAGAGACTGGAGGACCCTCAGATTGTGGCATTCAGCTATCCTTATGTCTGAAAAGTAACTCGCCTTTTTGGCCCAATTTTCAGCTAAGCAATAGATAGATTTATAGGTGGGAACAACAATACTAGCAAGGTATACTTACCTTGGAATGGTCAACCATTCAAAATCAAAAGGGCAACATTTTCCTAAGGACAAAATTGAGAAAGGGTAGGAAGTAGGGGTGGAATGCAAATATGATCGACAGGGAGGAAGCAGGATAACTTTTGTTACTTGGAGGGGATTGTAATCATTGAGATGAAGCAAAGTATGTGATTTGTTAAATGTAAATCTGATGATCATGCTTGTTAACCTGCACTTGATTCACAAGAAAAAGTTAAAAAAAAAAAAAATGAAAAGGAGAGTTGCAGTCATTGTGTACCAAGGGATTGTAGTAAGGACTATATGGAAAGCAATCAAAGATTCTGATACTAGCAAAGTTTCTAAAACTTTAACATGCATAGGCCAAGTCAGTAGAGGAAGTCTAGGTAGCCAGTTTGCTAGTCCACAAGCCAGTTTTTAATAGCAAGGACTTAATACCTTTTCATTATCTCGTATGTGTGTGTGTGTGTGTGTTATTGTAGTAGTAATCTATAACAAAGAACTTCCACACAGTTTATCTCATTTAATGAAATATAATGGGACTATTGTTTTAATGGAGTCCCTGGGTGGTGCAAACAGTGACTGCTAACCAAAAGGCTGGAGTTTCAAGTCTTCCCAGAGGTAACTTAAAAGAAAGACCTAGAGAACATTTACTTCTGAAAAATCAGGCATTGAAAACCCTGTGGAACACAGTTCTATTCTGACACAGATGGGTTTGCCATGAGTGGGAGTTGACTCCACAGCAACTGATACTGTATTAGTAATGATTCTAAACCTTATGCAAACAGTCATGTCCTTCTCAGGTAGTCATCTTGAGAGACAGCACCTAGAGTGGTTAAAAGAAAAACTGACAGAGATACTGAATTCTTCTCATCACAGGTGACTCTGCCACCCCTATCCATGAGAGCTTGGGCCAGTTATGAAGCCTTCCGGAGCTTCAAACCTTAGCTCTAAAATGGGGTTGATGCTGCTTCCTTTCTTATCAGGGTTTGTGATGATTATGTGAGATAATGAATGCAGAATATGTAGCAGGGCTCCTGACACAGTCCACACTCACAGCTACTCCTTCTTAGCATTCATCCATAGTATGGGGGATACATCTTCTAGGTCTGGCTTTAGGGCCATTTCAGAAGCAGGAGAAGAAATTCTTCTCATTAATACAAGAAGCCTAGGAGGCAGTGAGTTTTTGTTCATGGGGAGGAACAACTCAGAAAAGGAGGGTGAGCATGGTTGCACAGCTTGAATAATGTAATCAATGTCACTAAATTGTACATGTAGAAATTGTTGAATTGGCGTATGTTCTACTGTGTATGTCTTTAACAAGAAATAAATTATCAAAATTTTAAACAAGGTAGGCTTGAAGTGTAGACTTAGATTAAAGGCATCTTTGGGCATTTAATAGCAGAAGCACATTAATAAACAGGTTGCTATCCAGTCTACTCAATCGCATAGCAACCGTATAGGACAGAGTAGAACACTTCCTAAGGTTACCAGGGCTGTAATCTTTACAGTGCTGGTGTGGCGCTATATTAAAAGTGCTGGACTGATAACTGCAAAGACAGCAATTCAAACCCACTAGCCACTATTGGAAATCCTATCCAGGGTAACTATGAGTTGCTACTGACTGGATGGTACACAGCAACAACAGATCTTTACAGATCGCTAAATCACAGTTTTAATAGTCACATTTCATTCTGTTTTGTTCTTAAACGACTGCCTCTGTTGATATAGAATTTCTGCTGTCCAACAGTGTCACCATTAAGATGGATTTGGCTTGCTATGATCCCAAAGCATTTATTGTCTATGAAGTGTCTACTTAACCGGTCTTTGTTAATTTTCAGAGATAGAAAATTTGACTGTTCCTCTTCATTTTTTTCATGGTCATACGCCATTGCTTAATCTGTAGAATGTCTGTTTTCCAGCCTTATTCTAATCAACTATGACCAAAGGCATAGAATCTCATTGTAAAAACATATCTTCTATCCTTCAATAAGGCTGTGGGCAAGATGGGTAAGCCAAAAACCAAACCTATTGCTAGCAAGTCAATTGTAACTCTCAGTGACCCTATAGGACAAACTGGAGCTTCTGCTAAGGGTTTCCAATACTGTAACTCTTTACAGAAAGAGACTGCCTCATCTTTCTCATGCAGAGTGAACTTCTGATCTTGCAGTTAGCAACCCAGCATTGTGCCACTGGGGCTCTTTTTAGGATAGGCGGAGAGCTTCAATCTTGCTAAAACATTATGTAGTGATTTTTTTTAATATATAGGAGATTTAAAAATAAACAGAAAAGGAAAGGAAATAATTCTTTTCTTAAATGATTGAAAATGTAAGTTAACAACCTTTGGGGTAAACAGTTCCCTGCTTATATACATTTGTGTAACCACTGTCACAATCAGGATGCACAACACTTCCATCATCCTCCTGGATCTGCACCTGGACCAAGAGGCAGTTGTTCGAACAGAACATGGGAACACTGAATGGTTTAAAATTAAGAAAGGTATGTGACAAGGTTGTATTCTTTCACCATACTTATTCAACCTACATGCTGAGCAAATAATCCAAGATGCTGGGTTATATGAAGAAACACATGGCATCAGGATTGGAGGAAGACTCATTAACAACCTGTGATATGCAGATGATACATTGCATCTCAATGTAAAGAAAACAAAAATGCTCACCACTGGATGAATAAACAACATTCTTATCAATGGAGAAAAGATTGAAGTTGTCAAGGACTTCATTCTTCTTGGATCAACTACAGAGGGTACGGTTGAGACGGGGCTGTGTGGGCCCAGTTGCTGTGTCTTGTTGGGTGGGAAAAGAGGAGGAACCACACACACACCAGGAAGCAAACATAAATAAACAAGCAAGCAACCAATAATGAAAAAAGTGTTAATGTGAAGACTTTTTCCATTCTATTTTGCATTTTTGTACCTTTTCACTATTTAGAAAAAGTGCCATAACATGCATGAGAAATTTCACAGATTTATTTAATTAAATCCCTGAAAATGTTATCGTGCTTCAATTTCACAACTGTATTTCTAAAATTGGTTTTAGATCTACTCTGTAAGTTTTGGGCTTATAAAGCAGTCAGAGAAATTAGACCCCTGTGAATTTTTTCCGGTGAGAATGATTTGATTTATTAAGTTTATATAATTGCTGTTTTTGTATGCTAGCTAGTTGGTTCCAACTTTTAGCAACCCATATAAGGTTTCCAAAGTTGTAAACCTTACCAGGAGCAAAGAACTTTGTCTTTCTCCTGCAGAGCAGCTGGTGGGTTTGACCTTGTGGTTAGCAATACACTGTTTATCCTATAGAACCACCAGTACTCCTAGCTTGTATAATAATTATTGTTGTTAAGTGTTGGAAAGTTGGTTCTAACTCATAGTGACACCCTGTATAAGGTTTCCGAGGAGCGACTGGTAAGCTTGAACTGCCAACCTTGTGGTTCAAACCAACATTGTGGTCCTGCGCTTATCCACTAGAACACCTGTATAATAATGCTGCTGTTGTTAAGAGCCGTTGAGTCGGTTCTGACTCATAGCATAGGGTTTCAGAGGAGTCGCTGGTGAGCTTGAACTGTGGTTCAAACCAACATTGCAGTCCAGCACATTAACCTGCAGCACCACACCAGGACCCCAGTATAATAATAGTACTAAATAATTTTAAGTTAGTTATCGTGATTGTTAAACTTTATACTGAAAGAGACATTTATAATTGATTTCTTTCATTTATTGGACATTTTGTCCTCTAGAACTCATGGGGCTAGTCAAGCCATTCTGCATCCTCATTTCTAGTATTCTAGACACATCTTTTTATCATTGTCATTGTTATTACGTGCCATCAAGCCAGTACTGACTCATTGCGACCCTGTGCATGACAGAACGAGACACTGCCCAGTCCTGCGCCAGCCTCACAATCATTATTACATTTGAGCCCAATTGCTGCTGCCACTGTGCCAATCCATCTCGTTGGGGGTCTTCCTCTTTTTCTCCTACCCTCCACTTTATCAATTATAATATCCTTCTCCAGGAAACAGAGAGAATTGCAGACTGTGTATAAGCAATCATTGAGAATGTCCTGTTGCTCCTTATTAATCAAGATCCTCATGCATTTGCTGGTTTATTTCTTGGATTGGTATGGTACAAAGAAAAGCATACTGACTATTTCAGGTAAAATAGAATATATGGTACCTATGTTCGAACCCACTAGCTGCTCTACAGGAGAAAGATGAAGCTTTCTGCTCTCGTAAAGACTTCCAGCCCTGGAAACCCTGTACTGCCCCTATGAGTCGGAACCTACTGGATGGCAGGGAGTAAATGAGTGAGTTGTCCCATATATAGTTCTGTTAACCAAAGAAGAGTATTTATCAGTTTTAATTCCATTTTATGCTTTCCCTGTTTTTGTTTTTTTTCTTATAGATCCACTGCACTTGGAAAATAATGCAGTATCGTGCCAGCAATCTCCAGGTAGTAAAAAAGGGATGTTCACAGATGACTTGCACAAACTGGTAGATGATTGGACCAAGGAAACAGTAGGAAATGCTCTTACTAAGCCAAGTTTAAATCAACTTAAGCAGAGTCAACACAAATTAGAAAGAGACAACTGGAACAAAGCACATGAAGTAAGTTGTTTATACCTGATCCTGTTTATTTATGTGATCTAAAACCATAAAAATGGATGTACTTAGGTTTATACTTGTGTGCCTCTTGTAGTTATAGTCACTATGAGAGAAGTAGTATGATTTGGTAGCATAGAGATTTTTATCCTTGCCTAAATTCACCATATTTTTGAGCAAATGTTTTCTGTTTAAGCAGTTATTCTCTAAGCAAGGATTGGTTGTAAAAACATTAGGTTTTTCAAGCCAAATGCATGCTCAGCCACTATAGTATAAAAGCAGCCATAGACAATACATAAATGAATAGGCATAGCTTTGCTCAAATAAAACTTGATTTATAAAACAAGTAGTAGGACTATTTGCTGACCCATGTTTTAGAGACCTCTGGTGTGGTGCTATACGATCAGCACTGGACAGAGAACCTCAAGGTCACCAGTTCAAACCCACCAGCAGCTCCTTGGAAACCCTGTATAGGGTCATTATGAGTCAGAATTGACTTGATGGTACTTAACAACATCTGACAAACACAAAAATGAAACCACCAAATATCAAGGAATTAAAAAACATCTAGAGTGAGGATTCATTTAATCCTGTAATATAAGAAGAGTTTGGAGTTTAAGGAAAAGCTACCTTGTGTTGAACATCAATCTTCTTTGGGCCAATAAATTATCTTACTTGCTCAATACAAAAAGGAATTTAAAAGCTCATTAAGCTAGAGTATTTTAAGACATGTGCAAAATTTGTAGATTAGACTCATAGCCCATGTGCATATTAGGTGTACATGCAGCTGAAATGCAGAAAGCTGTCCACAGTGCATTCTGGAGTGGGAAGATGGCTGATTTATAGAATAACATATATTTGGTAAAATAATTTATATAAAATTATATACATTGTACGTATATGCATAGAGGAAATAGGAAAAGCTGCTAGCAAAACTCTGGGTGGTGGAATTTGAACCTTTCTTTACTTTGTAATTTTCTGTGTTTGAGTTTTCAGGTAAGTATTGCTTTTTCAAAATGTGCACACCTATTAAAATGTTAATCAGGACCATAGAATCTGAACTCTCATAATTGAAAGATATATCTGTATATGTGTCTGTGTTGTGGGTACATGTACATGAGTATATATATGTACACAAACTTCAAGAAGTTTGTGGAAAAATTCCATTATCTTTTAATTCCATTTTTCACAAACTTTTGGAAGCCCTCTTGTCTAGTCATTAAATATAGTTTAGTAAAGAAAGTCTGAAAACATGTACTATTAATGTTGAATAGCAAATATAAAATCCTAGGTTTCCCAGTGTCGTAAGCAGTGCATCTGCCTGGGGCATGTGTGTTTGTATCTTACTCCTGGCATCAATTTATACACAGATAAATGTTATCATTGTAAAAATTGGGAACCTTTTGAGGCAAATTTCATGGCATAAATGCATTTGTTCTGCCTTTGAGGGACTCTGAATACTGTGTAAATGGAGGCTTTTGTTGACTAATAGGAGGGTAGTTTATTGCAGTATACAGGTGATGTTTAGAGGAAGACTGAGTAGAAAATACAGTATTAATAAAAGTAGTAAAGAGACTTGGGTATTAATCTCACCTCTTTCATTTACTAGTTATATGACTGTAGATTAGTCACTTGATTTCTCTGTACCTCAGTTTTCATGTTTTTGAAACATAGATTAAATCTGCCTTACAGGATTGCTGTGAGGATTAAATGAGATAACACCTAGCACATAGTACCCTGTACAAAAACAATTGCAGTCAAGTTGATTTGACGTGTAGTGACCATACAGGACAGAGTAGAACTGCCCACATAGTTTCCAAGACTGTAAACTTTATAGACGCAGACTGCTACAGCCTTTCCCTGCAGTGCAGCTGGTGGGTTCTAACGCCAACCTTTCAGTTAGCAACTGAGCACTTTTACCACTGCATCACAAAGGCTCCTTTAGTTAGGTACTGTATATATTGTAATGTTTACTATTTTTGTATTTTTAGTTTCAGTTGACTGTATCTTTGTGGAGTCCATCTCACTATTTAATGATCTTGCATGTTACTGTTCTATAGCTTATCTTAGAAATTTTTATTCGCACAGCAATTATTTTTGAGCACCTCTTTACTATGTGCCAAGTCCTCTGCCAGGTACTAGTTTTGATGAGCAAAATGTTTTGTCTCTTGTCTTCTAAGGAACTATGTAGACTCTTAAAAGTAATGATGGGTAGGAACTTTGTTTTTAAGAGCCGTGGTAGCCATTGAAGCCTTAAGGTTGGAATGATCAGCTTTACTTTTTGAAAAGATCACTTTGATTGAAGTAAGAAGAAAGGATTAACGCTTTTAAGGCTGGGTACAAGTTGGTAGACCTGTTGACAATTTTATCACAGCAGCCCATATAAGGGGAAGTGAACAGATCCAATAAATATTTAAGAGATTAAATGAGCAAGATTTGGTGATGAAATGGATATATATGGCAGAGGAGATGCCAAGGCTAGATTTCTGGCTTGTATAACCCAGCATACCAATCACTGAGATGGAGAACAACAGTAGACAATGCATTTTGGTATGAGACGTTCCCATGCTTGAGTTTTGGGCATTTGAATCAGATACCTTTGAAATATCTAAGAGTCTGTTTTGAAAATAAAAATCACATTGTCATCGTTTTTTAAATAATGCATACTTGTTATAGAAATGTAGTCGATGTAAAAGTACAGAAGAGATATTTTAAAATAATACATTCAAATCCCACCACCCAGAAATAAATGTCATTAAATTAAAATAAATATCATTTCAAATATCTTTCTATGTCTGTATATGAATAGATCGTAATACTTCTGTAAAAATGTAATCATATGTACTGTTTTGAATTTGTTTAGAAGTAGTAAATTTAAGTTTACTTTAACAGAAAGAAAACACTGATATGAAGAAGGGATTGCTGAACTTTAAATAAATGTTTGTTTTTTGTTACCACATGAAATACTTTCATTCATTCTTTTTTTTTTTTTTTTTTTTTGCTTTAAGAACCAGAAATTTATTCTGTCACAGTTTAAGGGACTTTACATCCAAATTCAGTGTGCTGATTCTTTTTTTTTTTTTTTTAATTTAAGGTTTTAATTGTGGATTGAGTGAAAGTTTACAGGACACATCATCAGTTTCACATTCAACCATTCATGTAACTTGTTTCATTACACTGTTTATAATCCCCTCCATATAGCATCAGTTAAAAGTATTTCTCTCTATCCACTTTAGCTTTTTAAAAAACACA